ATTCCTCTATTAAACTTGCACTAGCAAAAAATATAAAAAATATTTTCAATAAAATAAAATGACCAAAATAGCTTTAAAAGTTTTAAAGGGTATTTTGATTATTATATTTTATCAAAAAATTATTTTTAATATTTTTTATAGGTGTGCTTCAATGAGAAGATGCGACGTACCAAATTTTATATTCATACAATATGTATAAAAAAAGCTAAAAATAAAATACTTTGAGACGTCGGATCTAAGATCAAACGGTGAGTGGCTTTCTTGATCAAAATTGGACGGTTGGATGGTAGGTGGAGGATAGAACTTCTATGTTGTAGGGGAAGCATAGAAACCTTTCCTATTACTTTCCATTATGTGCATTTGCACATTTGCACTCTTTGGTGCTCAAATCCTTCTTTAAGATATCAACAACTGTAGTCATACGTTTAGCACTAGTGATACCGTAGTGCTTAAAAGAATTTGAACAATTACCAGGTTGAAACCATAGTTATCAAAATTGGACTTGATTGGCAGTCTAGCGATGATGTACTTTAGTCGGTTTGGTTTAAAGTTATAATTAAGTTTGGTAAAAAATCAGTCTGTTTGATAAATTTTGGCATTAACCAATTGATTGGTTTTGGCCGATTTGACCAGTTAAATAAAATTTGGCGTTATCCAATTCACAATAGTCATATGACCGTGAAGGCATCACGGTATTTAAAATATCGTGATGACCAAAAGAGATAAGTATTTAAACTATCATGATGATCATAAGGTGGATTACGCTATTTTAGCTACTGTGATGGTCTCAATAATAATAATTTCTCTCATGTATTCCTTTGTAGTCGTCACAAGCTCATTGTAGATGACCCAATCAGGTTGCCTCTGGAACAACTCATTTAGATGACCCAATCAGGTTGCCTTTGGAACAGCTCATTGCTTGGATGGATGTAAACTGCTTTGCTCGCAACCAAGGTCTTATAACCCTCTTAAGGATCATTTCGAGCAGCATGGAAAATGAACCATGCACAAATCGCCTTCCTTATCTTGGTGAAAATTTCCCCAACACTTGCAACATCCAATATATACACATGTGCAAGATATTGTTCACAAATTAGCAGCAAGAATAAAACATTTAACCAGCTAGAACAACACAACAAAGTGAAAAGGATTTGGTGTCTAAAAACTTTAAAAATAAAATAGACAAATAAAAAGAGATGAGGTGAGTAAGAAGAGTACAACCAAGATCCACACTAGCAAGAAGCCTCTTCGAATGAAACACAACCATCTTCCTCCCCAATTTCTAATGGATTTGGTGCTATCCAAATTACCTATATAAGGAAATCCCATATTATGTGGGATTGATATTAATCCATATTATATGATATTGAGATTGATCTATATTATGTGGAATTGAGATAGATATTGGTAAGTTTTCTAAGGGAAATAAAAATTCAAAAAGGATTAGGACGCTTTGATATATCTCTTGGTATTTCGAGATATATATAATATATGTTGGAAGTTTCATATTTAGTGTGGACTTCTAATTTTATAATTTGGGATGAAAGTGTAGGGAATTTGCGTACCTTATTTGGGTCACTATATGGGAATGGTAGTTTTTTTAGAGAGAGAGGGGGGCAAGGTTTCTTGTGCATAAGATGTAATGTTTCCTCCTAGAGAGAAGAGAACTTATTATGGAGAGAAACATTATGAAGATGCATAGTTTAGAATCCTGAAGATTGAGAGATTTGTTTATCGTAGAGAAACGGGTTCCCATAGAGATTTTAGGTTGTTTCTCTTTTTAGTTAAAGAGAAAATCAGTTTCTCGTTGTTCTCGCGTCTTTATCTAGTATTGTTGGTAATGGTTGTCAGAAGTAAAGAGAAAGAAGGGATAATAGTTTAAAAATGTTTACTCAACTGTGTTTTTGTTGAGATTTGTTCCAAAATATTTGGTGTATCTTTCATTGGTATAGTAGATTTCAATTTTCTGTGCCTGTGGATGTAGCCCTTCTAGGGTGAACCACGTAAATATTATTTGTGTTCTTGTGCATGTGGTTCATGTTTTATTTCTCGTATTTTATTTGCCAAAAGTCAACCCATCGTGTTTAGAGCAACATCGCACAACAATTTCGTCAAGAACCCATCTTCATCCAAAGCTCCCAAATTGTACAGCCATCTCCCTCCCCAATACATGAGAGAAGTTCCTATTATTGACCCGAAAACTGTACAGCCATCGTCCTTCCTAATACCATCACGGTAGTTAAAATAATATGATACACCCCGTGGTCATCACTATATTTTAAGTACTGTGATACCTTAACGATCATATGACTACCGTGAAGGTTATTTTGGTAAAAACTACTGTGAAGGCTATTTTGGTAAAAAAAACGAATGGACGAGTTTAGGAACATATTTTTTTTTAATAAATAAAAAATTAAAGTATATTTTTTATAATTTTCCTAATACATTTTATAGTTTTGAATTATTATTATTATTATTATTACTATTTTATATTTTAAAATTTAGTCTAAACGGTTCAATCGATGTTTGAATCGATTTTGACTGAACCTGAAAGGACCCCTGCCCTTTTTTATTTTTTTGGGCTAATCATAGGGGAGAGGCCCTTTTTTTATTTTTTTGGGCTAATCAGTGGGGAGAGGCCCTGCCTTTGGTAGGAATTCAGCCTAGGACGTATCATTACAAATCGTCAAGCGTTAACCAATTAAGCCTGGGCTCTTTTTCTAGAAAAAGTGGTAGGTTAGTGGGGATTTGGGCCTCTACTCTTTGGTGAGAATGTAGTAAGAGACTTCACCATGGAACTCACCGCTAAGGCCCTAAGTCATTTTCATGCCTTCTTATCAATGCATTTCGATAAAATAAGCTTGCTGACGATATTTTTCAAATGCCACATAAGTTCAGTCAAAGTAGAACTAATGTTTAAAAGATCGGCCAATTAACTTGGGATCAATCACTGGCTGATCCTGATCTGGTCCGATTTCAATGGTCATATATGCAAGAATTTTTTTCAGTCCACTAATCGGTTGACTAATCGAACTAATTGGTACTAATCGACACTAATCGGTGATTTGTTCTAAATATTGGCCGATAAGTGCATTGTCACGGTGCAAAGTCGGCAAAGTTGTCCTTATAACATTTTTTATATATTTTTCCTTTTTTTCTTTTTCCTATTCTTCTATGGACACTATTTTTAAGCAGCCAGTTTGCATATTGTAGAAATGCGGGCTTGGCAATAAATATATTTTTTAAATATAAGTTGATCCTAACTTTTTACGGAGATCATGAATATAAATTTTTTTTTTGAAAACTAAAAATAATAATTATATTAGGAAAACATTTGGACTGTTAGTTACACTTGTTTTTAGATGGAGTACCTATTTGCATCTATCATATTATATTATAGATTATATGTTTATATTTATTTTATTAATGTAATTTATATTATATAGTATATATTGATTACATATTATATATAGTATATATTTATTTACATTGATTATTGAAAAAGTATTGTTTCAAGTGCCTAATCATTTTCTCCGAAACCCAATTATGTTTATAATATTTATCTATTTATTTTTTATGTGACAATATAAAAAAAAAACAATACATGTAAATTTTAAACATTTTTTACAATTTTTTTGGGATTTTTTGAGTTTTTTTGAGATTTTTTACCAAAAAATCGGGATACTAATCAGCCGATCTAGTCGGAATCGATTGGACTAATCGGATCGGGCCATGACCGACTAGTCGGCACGATCTGTTATTTTGAACACTAAGTGGAACTGATTAACACTAAGCATTATGGTCCCTAAACGTAATTACTAGTTGGCTTTGCATTTTCTTCTAATGAATGGATGCATAGAATTTGAATGCCTACCTTATATTGTTGAAAATTGTAGTTTCGGTGTCGAAAACTTTACGGCGGCTTGAAGATCCATGTTCAACTTTAGCTATGAAATTTAAAATTTGGAAAACGGTGTAGATGGAGCAAATTTATTAATATTTGAAAATTTTGAAAATAGACAGATAAGATGTTGTATTTTTAAGTCTTGAAAGTTTTCTTTCTTTTTTATTCATACATTTAGAGGTCGGGATGATCAATAACTAACTGCATAGCACTCTTTCCCTCTAGATTTGCCATCTTATATAAGGTTTTTCCTTTTAAATAAGAACGGTATAGAACGGAGTACCGATTTGAATCATTTTTGGTGGGTGTGCAATCCGGTCTGAAGCCCCGTGTCGCATGTATTCACCTATTTTTGTTTCTATTTTATTATTTTTAGCGCTGATCCATAATTTTAGGGGTGCAGTTTTTATAGTGCTGAGGATCTAAACAATCAAAGTAAAACCCACTTTCAAGTAGTGTTGAGAAGTTTAAATATTAAAAATCTTAGTGATAGCTTTAAAATATATTTTCATCTTTAATTACAAAATTTAAAGCTTAAAAAATAGTGTAGATTGAGCAGATCTACGAAAACATGAAAATCTTGAAAATTGACAATCCAAAAATGCGTTACAAGATGCACTATTTTCAAAACTTGAAATCCATTATTTTCTCATGTCAATAATGGAGATAATCAATTATTTCCAAAACTTAAAATTCAAGATAATCAATTTGAAGATATTTTGGCATCAAAACAATCTCTTTTAATAAAATTTTTGAGGTAAACTCCAATTTGCTTGTTTAGATCCTTGGCTCTATATAAATTTTTTCTTAATTTTAAACACCCGGCTCTTGACTTCACAATTGAACTTTGCATGGGATTTCGTCATTTCTATTATTATTATTATTACACATGTGGGTGTGGGAGGGTATCATAGGATCATTACTTTTAATATTATTATTATTATTATTATTTGTCA